AAAAAATATCACTTAATTTGTCATGTCATCAAAAGATATATTTCTTTATTAGTGATGTGGGATCCATTTGAGTAGATTTGGTGCCATGTCATCTAAAGACAAATTTCTTTATTAGTGAGGTGGGACTCATTTGAATGGATTTGACACTCGGTAATATCAAATGTCAAAATATTTGTCCATATCATCACTTTGCTCTCCACATCATCAAAAAAAATATAAAAAATGCCACATAAACAAAGTTAACGGCTCAAATTAACAGAAGGACTAACATAGTGCATTTCTTGTAGTTGAGGGATCAAAAAAGTGTAAAAAACTATTGAGGAATCAAAAATTTACATTTCTTAAAGTTAAGGGATCAAATTTAACATTTAACCATTTAAGAAGAAAAGAGAGGCACATGAGAGTCGAAACCTTCACATGCTGCCACTGACATCACCGTGTCTGGCCACGACTTCTCCTCTTTCCGATGTTCCCAACACCCAAACATCACGTGTCATTCTTTTGTATCCTTAATTCCCTCTTTGTCCTAATCTCTTTTATAATCCCATTTTTAGCTTGCTTTCCAAATTGACTAGTACTTTTGTGTATACTTGCCCAAATGTAAATAAGGTCAAGTGAATTTTAATGATTAAATTTATGGATAAGTAAATATTATTTTGTAAATTAGTTTTAAGTTTTAAATTTGGGGGTTAATGTAAAAAAAAAATTAAATTCTTTAAACGTATTAAGTAAATATAAAAATACTTTTTTAAAATTGATTGTATAAAAATTAATTTTAAAATATTATAATTGTATAAAAGAATCATTAATTTTCTCAAAACTTAAACATTAAACTTAACTTATAAAATAACAATTATTATCATTGAATTTAACTTTTTGATCTCTAATTCAACTCTTTCTTGTATTTGATAACAATAAAAAGTTAAAAACCCCATTAATTTTCTAGTATGATTATAGATTTTTTGTAATTATATATGTACATGTGCATAATAGTTGATCAGAAATACAACGTGCATCTCAATTCTCCCCGATTCTTCTTTTATTTCCCAAAACTCTTTTCGGTTGATAAGACACCCGCTTCAATTATCATTCTTAAAAAGCCGCAATTATCTGAGTTATTGTAACCCTAAGATCTCTAGTACAATATAGCTTTTGAAAATCACATATAGAAACAAAATCTCCATGAAGTCTATGCATTATTAAATAAAGCAAATTATTACAAAATGGTACCCTCACAAGAAGTGGTGCAAAACCCCCTTTTCTTTGCTCACGAGGTATATTAAAAATGCTTTAGAAGTCAGAAAATAACATTATATTACGCCCAAAGTAAGACACGAGTAGAATTTACTAGGAAATTAATATGAGCGGATGCATTGGCATTCATACTTTCCCAGTTTTTAAATATTATTAAATAACAAAAACAGAGAACATTAGATCAAGAAATGGTCCAGGCATGATGTCTTCTTTTTCCACCGTCATCCTTTGTTTTTTTGGTATTTTTGTGTGATGAGTAGCTGCGTGCAGGTGTGAGCATGCCAGACTAATTATGCAACTGATCCAGCTATTCCCAAATTGCCATGTAATTTGAAAATTTGGAGTATTAGGAGAGTATTGAAGGGAATAAAATGCATATAAAAAAATTGAGAAAAAGGAAATTTTGTAGGCAAGTTTGCTGTGAATGTGCAGGGTGCAGGTAGCATGTAAAAGTGGGATGTCATAATGAGATCATGGTGTGCTTGTCATTTTGTTTCTTTGAGAAATTGGCTTTTAGAGAAGAAGGAATTTTGTTATTATTACATTCAGCTTTATTAAGCAAAGGTCAATTTTTTTTTTTTTCTTTTTGTCAATCCATGTTTCTCCTTAGAAAGGAGAAAGGAGAGTAAATTGTGGAGGAGGAGTAGCTTGAAAGGACCAAACAGGGGATTTGTGAGGGTAAAGACTAAAGAGAGCATAAATCACTTGCAAGGAAAGGAAAGGAAAGAGACACCCTTTTCAAGGGAGAAAATATCATAAAGAAACCAGTGCATGGGGCAGGAACCCTTTACAGGGTTAAGCATAATGATTCAATTAACCCAATTAGAAAAACCTAATGAATTGAGTGATCTTTGATTAAAATAGTGGAAAAGTTTGGTGGGATAATGTGGCAATCAAATGGGTTTTTTGTTTTTTCATCATGTCCTTTTGCTAAATTGTGGCATAATTGATGGTGGCAAGGGAATAAATCAATAAACCTTCCTTCTTGTGAATATCTAAGATGTCTTTTTGTGGGGCTAATTCATTCTTACCTTGATGATTGCATGGGGCATTAATGGGTTCCTATTAAAAGAAAGATGGTAAAAATCAGAGGTTATCATAGGCATGAAACCAACCAAAAAGAATTGCAAGTTGGTGAATGCAGAGATTTGGCCTCAGAAAGGGGAAAATTAATTGCTCTACCAATAAGAGAGCAGAGGAAGGAGAAGCTACCAAATGAATTTTACCAAACAATCTCAGGCTCTTCTTTTGGTAAAACCTCTTAACTAAGAGACAGAAAAAAGGAACCAGAGCAGCATAATGATCCAACCTTTTCAAGGAGCAGTAACACAGGCCTCTTTTGCTTTATTTACCCATTGAATAATTCTTTTCCAATTGTCCATAAAGAAATCTCATAAAAACAAAACTAAAACACAAAAGAAAAAAAAGAAAAAAAAGAACCACCTTATATTGGCCTTGTATTTTTATTTTTTGATTTACTATATCTGTTATAGGTTGTTCAAAATGGTTAAACCAAACAAAATCTAAGATTTAACATTTAACTGCCTATTCGGTAGCATGAGGTAAGTTTGTAAGGGAGGCTGATGTTGGAAACCAAGCACCATGGCACCAACATTAAAGATTTCTGTCGAAGGGGATCTAGAGTTTTGGACTCTTGAGTTTCTCCAACACAAATTTTAATCTTCTTCCCATATTTCACTCGGTAATGATGCATTACATACTGTAATCATGACAACAAAGACGGAACTATAAGGTTATTGGCCTAAACCCTTGAATTTTTTAACAGAGTATTCAAAATCCAAAAATCCTCAATTTACCTCCAATCCTTGAACCAAGAATGAAGATTTTTACCTTTCCTGTAGACTCTGGCTACTGTACTACCAATGCCACACCTCCATCATGTGCAATCATGCACACTGTTGGTAGGCAATGGAGAACTGTGTTGCATGGAAAACCAAAGCAAAGGAGCACAAATGATGGCAAAGGTGTGGCATTGAATTGACATTACCTTTCTAAACCCCCTTTGTTTTTCTTGTATTGAGTGTTGAATTAGGGCTTTTCTTTTATTGTAAATATTAAGCCACAGGACCTGAGAAAGAAAGTAAAAAAAAATACACTGACACCGTGACATTTCCTTTTCTCTCCCTTCTCCCCTTCTCCCGTGGGTGACTAGACGCTGCCCTATTGATGCACTCAAAGCCATAATATTGGATCCTCCCAAACCTAAACCAATCACACGTTCATTCACTGTGTAGATAAAACAAAGAACTTTGGTTGGAAGTAGCAATTAATGAAATCTAGTGGAATGTCAGTCTATGGATAAACTAAACAGAGAAGAATTAAATGCCAGCAGATAGGACATGGGAGAGATGCCAAACCCAAAGCTGCCTTCTTCCTCTCTTTTTCACCATACACCATCTTTTAAAACAGTCTCCATTAAAATATCAAATGGACTTTGGATGTGATTCATGTGAAATTTTCAAATTTTAAGCTGTAAATTAAAAGAGCTTGCGGTTTTGCGTTTTGGAGAGTGTGGACTGTAAAATCATGACCTTCCAAAAGAAGACCCACCTTCTTTTTTCGTACATGGTTAATTTTGTACGGTCTGATATAAGGCACGCCAAATAACAAGAAACATTTTTGAAATTAAAAACCCAAAAGTAGAAATTTTGATACTGAAACGTGAAAATGAAAATGAATAATTTTCTGTACATGGAGATGAGTAGATAACAGAGGAGAGGAGAAAAGGGGTAGACAAAATTTTCCGGCAGACTAAGAATTATGTAGTGGAGTGTCGATTTTTGTACAAAACAGAGAAGGTGAACCAGAGACCCTTCTGCCGGTAAATCATCTCAATAGATCCTTCCATTAAATTGGCGCCAATTTTGAAAGACAAAATTAGCAGCTAAGTGCTTCGTACTTCACCTGAAGTGGACGGTTAAACCCAACCTGAGAAAGCAAATTCCCGACGGCAGCCAAGTCCCGGCAGAAAACTCCTTGAAACACATTTGCATTGGAGGATGGGTTTGCTTTGTTTTCACCGGGACTTGCCCTGTTGTTACAAGCTCGGGAATCGGACGGATTTGCTGAAAGAGATGGAGTGTTCTCCGGTTCTGATTTGGGGTGGGGATTTTGGGTCTGTTGCGCTTGGATTGTAGACTGCGCAGCTTGCAGAGCCGCCACAGCTTTCTTACTCTGTTTTTCGGCGGCTTCTTCTTCCCTTATTGTCGTCATTAGACTTGAATAACCCTTTTGAAGCAATCTGTAAAGAAGCAATGCAGACATTTTGGCCCTGTCCTTGATTGATTCCAGATCAGTCTCGTCGGCGAACTCACATCTCTCAATGTAATTGGTAGCTTTGTCGGGTTTATGCCGCAAACAGAGTAACAAATGAGCCCTCTCTAACTCAGACCTTGAACAGCCACGCCTTAATCCGATCAAAGCATAGTAATCAACGTTTCCAGTCTCGCCGGAGGCGACCCTCTGTTTCAGTTGCTGAATTTTGGCAGTCAATGCACATAGCTTCCCCGGAATCTCTCTGTACCTCACGTTATGCCGTTTCCAGGCAGGACCGGGGAGCTTCCTGTCTCGTAAAATGGAATTGTAGAGTAACTTTAAGTGTTCGAGATCGTGCAAGCAATCAGGCACGCACCGGATGGTTTCCAGAAGGGAAGCTCTAGTATCCAGAGCTTGAATGCAGGTGGGATCAAGAGCCAGGGTCTTATTGCAATCAGAAATTGACTCGGCAATCCGACCAGATGCTTTGTAGGCTAAGGCGCGGTATAAATAGCACTCAGCGAGGAATCCTTGAGGGGCGGGGCGTCTGCCGTCAACAATCTTGGAGAAGTGTCGAATGGCCTCCGAGTAGAGACCGGCATCCAGCGCAGCAATTGCAGCAGTTCTCCGGCGGACCAGGAGCTTGATGTGAGAGAGGAGCTGCGATATATTTTCAGTTTCGGAGAGCGGAATGCCGTTACGCGGAGGGGTGGAGGGAGGAGTAGCGGCAGCGGAAGCTGAGATGTCAGAGGCGGTCGTGGCAGGGAGGGAAAAGCTGTCGTCGGACCAGCAGATGCTTTCTCTTCGGAATGCGGCGGTGGCGAGGCGTTTCCCTGTCTGTAGCAGCACCATGGCGTCCTCCATCAGGCCCAGATGACAGCACGCTTGGCCCAAAACCAAGTACCTGCATCAAAAACGGTACACAAACTGAGTTAAACGCTGAGTTCAAAATTCCGAGTTCAAATAAAATTACTAAAAATTAAAATGTCAAAAAATACTGAAACCTGAAATCAGAAATTTTAAGAGCACAGTACTGCCTGAGGTAATAAATATATGAAACATAATTAATGGAATATACAAAATTAAATTAAATAAAAATAAAATTACCTCCATTGCCCTTCTTTTTCGCAGTTTTTACAGAGTCCAGCCAGGACCTTCTTCTTCAAGTCCGAGACGGAGAAACATTTGAAGGACGGGTCGAGACCCGGTGAGTCAGACGACGAGTTGTTAGAGAGAAGCTTGACTCGCTCTCGAGAAAGCTGTTGAGAAGAGCAATCGGAGGAGACGGAACTAGAGTCCTCGTTCGTCAGTTTAAGGCTCGGGATGTAGTCCTGAAGCATATCGGCGACGTCCTTGAACCGCCGGAGATAGAGAAGAGATCTTGCTTTGAGTTCCAGAGCGATCTCGAACCGCGGCGACAGAGCCAGCGCCGCGTCGAGGAGGTTGAGCGCGGAAGCGATCTCACTCTGTTCTTGCGTCGCAATGAGATTCCTCGCATCCTTAATGTACTTGTACACAATCTGCGAAAAGGTTGAAAAATCAAACAGAAATCAAAACTCAAGATCATTTCCAACAAAAAATTCTCAACACGATGAAAACTGAATCAGAGATTCCACACCTTTCGGTTGCTACGCCACCAATGCTTCTTTTCTCGAGAAGTAGCCATGGTTGGTTTCTGGAGGGTGTCGAGCTTGGCGAGGAAGAATCAGGAATCAACCATGAACTCTTCTTCGCTTTCTGGGGTTGCTGTTGCTTGCACTCAAAGACTGGACATTTTTATTTGTGCGAATAAATAAGGGGGAAAGAGATATATAGGGGAAATGTGGGGGTTGGAATAAATCTGGTTTATCTAAAGCGGATCAAAATTAGCAAAAAAAATAAAAAAATATATATAAAGCGGATCAAAACACAGTTTTCTAGAACTACTTTTAAATTATTTTAAAAAGCTGATTT